CACACAGCAGGCAGATGGTAGAATGAAGAAAAGCTCGTTGATGAAGAGTGAGAATAACAAAGGACCCAGGTTGCTGCCTTGTTGGCATTCCATGGCGTATCGAACGCTGATTTAAAATCAGTTTATGCGGTGTCGATCTGAGCAACGTATGCAAAACGAAGCAAATTTGTAGGTGTTGATCTTTCGTGGTAGACACCCTACTTATCCGTAGAAATGTAATTCTTGCAGTAGTCGAAAAGTACATAATTTATTATGATTTCGAAAACCTTTGAACAAGCACACAACGAAGTTATTCCTCTGTAATTCTCAGTGTTCTGTCGATACCCTATTTTAAACACGAGGAACATGCTTGTGGGAAAACTGCTTCCGTAATGATATTTTGAAAAGTGCATTAAAAGGGAAAATCAAATCTTCGCCTCAATTTTTCAGGATGCATGACGGTATGCCATCTGGACTGAACACAGAGTATTTCAATTTGTTTATTGCGCAGTCCACCTGATTCGACGTGATTGTAAAGCTTCTCAGAGAACAGACACCACTAGGTGTATCCCTACAAGCTCCCGTGATTTGACGTGCAGACGACGTAGAATCATTGAATGACCTTCTAACGTGAGTGGCAAACAAATGCACTTTTCCGAAGCGGAAGTGGTGACTTCATTGACCAGAAACATCTCAACGGGTAACCCATACTTCTTCCGTTTATAGTTGACAAATTTCCAAAAATGTCGTTGATGTTTGACTAGATTTTCCTGAGTTCGTTTGCAGTAGCGTTTGTGCAGATAACGACTATACGTGCGATAATTGCTACTAGCACGTGCGAAATGTTGCATGGCAAAAGCACAACAAGACTGGCATAAGGCTAGGAGTGCTTTGGATCTTAGACGTTTGAGTCGTCGTAAATGTGTATTTCCCCAAGGGGGTTTCGAAGATGGCCTGCGCAGTGGAACAAAATCAACCAAGTAACTCTTTAACACACTGATGAAATACTCTACAGCAATGTCAATATCTTCAGCGGATTCAAGGATGTGCCTTTTTCCGAGTTCGTGGTTTATAGAAAAATGTCAAAGACAGAATTTTGAAAAAAAAAATACAAAATGAATTAGTTCATTTATTGAATTTAGGTTTCTTGTTCACAATACAAAACATCTTAAAACTATAGACAAAAGGTGCAACACAATAAACACTTCATCTTCCGCTATCCAAGAAGCCTCCTTCATCAGAACGGGAGCCACTTCCAGTGGTTTCATTGTATGGTAGTATCGCCAACGGGGGGCAGAGCGCTTCTATTGCAGCAATGGACGCAAAACGTGGTCAGCACTCACACACTCACTAAACGGTTGCTTTCCAAAGTCGACCGAAAGAACTATTGATGAAGAACAATAAGGAGGATCCGACGGGTGCGATACATTCAAATCTCAATTTAGATGGCGTGCATGCATCTCACAACAACAAAGCAAACACAATTCAAACTGCCGTAGCTAACATAAATCAAGTGCCTGAGGCTTCGATGATTCTCCCTGGAATTATTCAGAAAAAAAAATCAAGATCTTGGATTTGACAAATTTATGAAGCTCTGGGACATTGCTAATTCATTTTTATCTCAGACTTATTTTGGTATCTCGTACTAAGAGAAAGTTAAGAATTGCGAGCTTGAAACAATATTCAAGTTATCGAACTTAGAATTTGTATCAACAGAATTCGATTAATAAATGCACATCATTTTATTTTAAGGTTCATATAAAATTCCTGGTTATTTCCCGGTGTTTCCCGCTTGTTTTAGATTCCCGGTTCTACAGGTTGCCATTCTGAATTAATCACGGAGTAGCAACCATTGTCAGCCTAAGCTAAGCTGAAAAGATCTTCCTTGCCTGACCTGATGAATACCCGCCAGAAGCATAAAACAGTTAAACAATTACTGAAAATTCTACTAAGAAAGATTATGCAAAATTTCCCATAATGCGAGAAATACAACAAGGTTTCTCTGAATGAATTTATTTTTAAATCAGTATCGCTGAAACACGGAACAAACGAAAGAAAGCTAAGGTACGTTCCTTTCATATGAGGCTAGAATCGAAATGTTCTATCCGGGTCTGGAACAATTTTAATTTTTTTCTCAGTGTGAATCAAATAAAAAACTTGAATCAATCCACCTACCGTGAAACCTGACCCTTCTTCCTTATAAAAATTTCAACAAAAGTGCTGATATGGTGTGATTCAATAGATGAATTCTGATGTAATTTAAGGTATCGATGTATATGATGGATTTTGACCCAAGCCGGGGGTTCCTAAAACATGGCTACTGTGTTACCTGAATTAGTTCGTATAATTTTATATTGCAAATGCTATGCAAAATTAGACGAGTATTCGGGGTACTCGTATACAACGTATATTCGTTATAAGTCAGGTAACACAGAAGATGTGGCTAGTGTGGTCCTGGGCACTTCAAATGACTACCATTGAACTGGATATGTTTTCCTTGATTTGTTTTCCGTCGATCTTGTTTTCCATACTGAGTACCGATGCTACCGACGCCAGGGAGGCTGCTCCCACACCTGGGCCCAACCTATCGACCCATCAACTCAACCAACGGCTTTACTTCCCTTGCGAAGGAAGGCGTGATCAGAGATTTTATGCCTCAGAAAATCCCGGTGGCGCCGACTGGGATTGAACCCAGGCATTTTGGGGTGAGAGACAATCACGCTTACCTCTATACCACCGGCGCTGCTAGAACTTGATATTGAATTCTCATTTCATTTGAGGTGTCACTTGATGGAATTTATTCGTTTTAGGACGGATTTAATCTCATATATTACGTTCTAAAATCTAGGTACCTTTCATTTGGTGGTTGTTGTGTCCTTTTCAGTCCAGTGGTTGTCGAGAAAGACGACTTAGTTCCCAAAATCATGCCTAGAAACACGTCTTAGATTTTGTTTCCTTACATGCGCACACACAGACATTTTCCGATCTCGTCGAGCTGAGTCGATCAGTATATGCCAATCGGCCCTTCAAGCCTCGGTTCAAAAGTCCGTTTTCCAAGCGATATCTATACCCTTCTTTGTAAGAAGGGTAAAAATATGTGTTAAGCCCTAAAAATTACCCCCGATAGAACATTTTGAAACTAGTCTCAAATAAAAGAGGGCCACCTAATATTTCAGTTGGTGGGTGTTTCAGTGTTACTGATTTTTTTTTTATAATAATGTTATTCTACCAGACACCGTGACGAGTTTTAACTCAAAAACGACCACACATTTGGATTCAGCACCACAAAATTACATCAGTAATATGTGTTTTTATTGATTTCAAAACGTTTGGAATCGCATGTAATTTAAAAACGCTTGGCCAGCATTTGTTTGGAACCGCCCCTTTGTGGGATGTGGCCAGATTACATCAGAATTCAATAACAAGACTACCCAACAAACATTGGAAGCCGCTTAAGAGCTTAATCAAGCAAAAATATGCGTCTTCAGCTAAAAAATGACTTATTCAGCCTTTAATCAGTTCAAATTGTTTGTTGGGTAATGACGATCAAGGTAAGTACTCAGAATCACATTGGTTACACCCGTATATTCTCCGAGTTCCTTCGGAGAAGTGACCAGCATCTGACGTGAAGAATAGCCATGCGACACTCCAAATCACATGAAGATTCAAGAACAATATCATTAGTGGGCGAGTTGGTCACTCCTGGACTCGCTAAGAAGTGGATGGATTCCGGCACTAAAACCCATCATGCAACACACACACACCCAAGTGGTCAAAATCCGATATGAGTCAAAACTTATCATAAGACAAAGTGAATCACATGATATTTATTATATGATTTATTGGCAGTCAAAAATATCAACTAGCGAACAGGCCTTGAAATCAGAATTGAGCCAAATCAAATCACTTCGTTCTTTGATGGAAAATTCGATTTGCTTTTCTTGTCCCACCTCTTTGAATTTAGGCCACCAAAACGCCTGGCTTCGGAAAAGATTCAAAATCACATGACTTCACATAGCTTCATGGTTGATATTTATTTAATATTCACATATTTTAATCATCTGAAATTATCTTAAATCCGAAGAAATGTTGTTGCATATATTTGTAACAGCTACACTGAACCCTCTATAGACCAAGCCTGCCGTTTAGTGGGACAAAAAAAATCATTAATCATTCACATGAACGTTTAGAATAAATCGGTTACAAAATCACTCTATGAAGTTATCTTGAAAACATATAATTGAAAAAAAAACCGTCATAACTTCAACAAGATAATTGCTTCTTAATTGCATTAAGACTGAACAGATTTTTCGGAAATTTGAAGCAGAACTTTCTCGTGAGTTCTAGTTTCAGCTGGCCAAGCTGGTTAAAATTGGTGCAATCGCTCGTGAATAAAACTAAAAAATTATTGCCTTGGAGGCCTTTCGAAAGCAGGCAGAGTTTAAAAAAAAAATTGCAGTAAAGAGTTAAACAAGAATTTACTATGCAATTGCTTAATTGCTCTTATTCAGGCACTTTTGAGCATTATGCTGATAGCCATCCCAACTAGACTAATAGCTAAACACTTAACGCTTACAGTAATGATCATGGACATAATTTCTCCAATTTCCTGTAGACAAACTTCCTCACAGAGCTCAGAATGCGATAATTGCACCCATTTATTGTGGCCTGCTAGAAAAACCAAAAAATGCGCTCAAAGTTCTGTGCTCGCCATCCCCATCAAAGCAGGCTGCGGTGACGACGGCAGCAAATCGATTACTATCACCAATTAGGCAATTAGCGAGCGCACAGAGCAACGATCTCGGCTCACGAGCCGCCCATTGGAATGACTCGCTTATGCATAAGTCAGTTTAACCGTTTAACCGTTTTTATTGTCACTTTTATACTTGCTAAATTGTCATCTGCCCCGAGCGCGGTCACCCGGCGGCACTTTCAGGACTAAACGATTATAGTTCGGTTTACACTGGATGCCAAAAACAAAATTTAAAGAGGTTTATGCTTATTTCTACAATTGTATTTACTTTTCAATTAAACTTGCCCGGTCCGGATGGATGTTGAATCAGCTGATGGGGAAATTTGGTGGCGCCTATCGAAGAACGTCACGGATCAATCACCAACGGCACTTAAAGCAAATTTGTAGACGATTGAACGTAATTGGTGTTCCCCCGAGGTCGCAGTAGACCGTTGAAAGAAGAGCAAACAAAATGCCGAAAAAAAAAACAAATCGAGCCGGTCCTAATTCACCAAACTATCAATTTCGATTAATTTCACACCAGTTAATGTATGCATGTTTGAACTATGATCAGCGTTGATCATCACGTTAGTGCGGTTTCAATTCACAATCTTCTTTTTGTTTAGTTTAGGTAAAAATGCTCTACCAGGAATTTTCCAAATGAATGAATTCAAATTTATGGAACCCACTCTGAGCAGAAACAATAGTCCAACTGTTGAATTTCACTAAAAGCCAACTATTCCAATGGCTCCCTGAGGAGGGCCTCTGGATTGCTCTCGAGCCAAGAGGAGAGAAGAGCCAAGTCCAAACAGTTTGGCTGCACGTCGACGACTGACTGAAATCTGTGCGAAACGATGACTTAAAAGCTCCCCCGAATCGGTCGACAGTGGGCAATGAAAATTCTGCCGCTTGTTGCTTCTGCCACCTTTTGCTCCAATCGAGGAAAAAGGGAGCAGAATTTTCCTCGCATTCGTTCTTCTTCATCTTATTCCCGATTGCTTTGATTCTATGCGCTCCTTCGGGGGCCTGTTTCAAGCGCCAGGCGCCAAACCATCGAAGCAAACCATCAAACAATAACCATCGTCGTATCACAAACTGTGTATGCTGGGAGAAAGGCATAGAGACGCTCCTCTGCTCTATGTCGACGGTTACCAACCGTAACAGTTGACTTTGTCCGAGAGGCCTACTGCCACCCTCACCTCGTTCTGCCTACTGCGATCTGGGTGATGGGTAGGCACCAGCCTTCGGAGAGTGCTGGAACAGATATTGTGGTAATTTTTCTTCTTCTCCTACCGACGGCCTGCTCCTCAGCACGTGCATATTCATGATTTGAAGACTTACTGATCAGAAGCGAATTGATGAGAGCTGAGAAGCGAAATGATTACAATGAATTAATTCTAACAGTTGCTAGTGATTTGCGGTGCGAAAATGTTTACAATTAATTGTTCGTAGGACACTGCCCAATTAACAAATTTAGCTGCTGTATAGCTTATAGAGGCAAAAATTGGCTTATACAGCTAATTTTTATCTGTTTGTTTTGTGATGATTGATGTGTGTTGAATCTTGTTACATGCATTGGAATAAACGGCCTAATCATCAATGATTATGTTCAAATTTGTTTAAACATAATAAAGGGCTACACTGGGCCATAGCATGGTAGGGGCGAGAGGGGCGGTCCGCTCTATGTGCGGTATTTTGAATAATAAATCTATGTTCAAGATATTTGGGCCTATTCTATTCAAAATTAGTAAACAAAAAATACCATGTATATTTTTCCCAGAAGGACTTTATTTTTCTCTGCAAGTTTGTCTTAAACGTCATTTCGATCAGGAACTGCGTTTTCGTGCTACAATTTATTGAAAAATGACAAAGACGCCATATTGAATAAAATACAACATTCAAAATGCACCCCAAAGGACCTGGGCCAGTCGGCGCCGCCGGGATTTTCTGATGCATAGAATCTCTATGAGTTGATGGGTCGATAGGTACGGAAAACCATAGGTATCATTATTTTATTATAGCCGGCTTCGGTTGTGTAGTGGTAAGCGGAACTGATTTCTCACCCCAATGGGTCTGAGTTCAATTCCAGCCGAGGTCGGTGGGATTTTTCTGAGGCATAAATAAAAAAACGTCTTCCTTCGGAAGAGAAGCAAAGCCGTTGGTCCCGGCCCATGTGTGTTATTGAATGGGTACGCATGACAATCGATATCCGTCGGTGATTGGCACTAGATTGCGGAACAGAGACCGACGTTCAATAAAGGAATGAAGATAATTTTTTATATCCAGAATTTCGAATAAGTTTGAGTCTCAGAACCGTTAAGTTTTTTTTAAACGGGGAGCTAAAATAATACCCATGCAAAAGAACTAAATTTCTGGATTACTAAGGGGCTGTTCATGAACTACGTAGACACTTTTTTGGGATTATTGACCCCTCCTCTCCCTGTACAGACAATTGTCCATACACAATTTTATGGGCCGTGGATAATCGAGATAGAGAGCGTTGTTTGAGGACGGTCGTGGACGGACAAATTTACCACCATTTGAAAGCTCTTTTAATGTAGTTTTAGATGCATTTGATTTCATCTACACCTTCCTGCACCTAAGAAAGATACGCAAGTCCAAAATATGAGGAAAATAGAAGAAAATTTATCAATAACTTATCCTATTAAAATGATGCAGGTATAGTATGTTCTAGAACGATGTGTATTTTAGTATACCAATCAACTTTGTTGAACATAATGAGGACCTAAAATTAAAGAAAATATGTGTTTTGATGAAAAACGTGTTCTTGGGGGTCCGTCCTCAAACAACGCTCTCTATCTCGATTTGAGTGAAATTTAGGACTTTTATGTCATCAGCAAAGTTGTTTGTAATCATTTTTGCGTCATTACTCTAAATCCGCTCTCCATGGTGCTATTAATTAAGAGCGTCAAAATGGATTTTTCAACCACTATGCATCTGCCAGAAACAACACAGAATGAATTACATCATTCGATCAGTTCAAAATGACATTTGCTACATAAACTATGTGGTAAAATTAACACGAAATCTGTCTGCTAAGCAATGGCAGGGCTGGAAGTGCTGATGCGATATAATAGTAGTAACTTTAGTGGTTAAAATTACGGGAATAGTGACCAAATACTGACTTGTAAATACTAAATAAATAACCAATTATACGGAAACTTAAAAATTCAAATACGGTTTGATATTGAAATAAACTTTTTATGTAATGGAACTTAAAATCTAATTTAATAAATTTCTTTAATTTAATCGAATCTCACAACGAAATCTCCTGTGAAGAGCATGTGAAGTGATTTGAATAATTTACTTTTGTTTGCGTTATGATGACTAGCAAATAGTAATTCCCGTTTTTTATGATCTTGAATTTGATTCTGCGTTCGAAATCTTTAAAATGTTGATGTATCTAGGTAGATAACTTTGATAATTCGCTAAGAACTTTTCACAGAATTTCTTTAGAATGATCTCAAGAACATTTTTTAGAATAATTCCTTAGAGGCAAATAATCTTTTGCAAAAATAATATTACATTCTTGAAATTCTTTGCAGAACAATCAACAAAATTCTTGAAAATATATTATTTTAGTTGTTGAAAATGCTTAACTTGATATCAGAATTAAAGTGGACATTTTATACGCTAGATGAGAAGATGAAAGTAAAGAGTTGATAGTTCCGTTATAGTACGGCAGTGTGAAATTTGTATACAGAAAGTAGAAAGTGAACAACGGTCAATTTTGAGGAAGGTACGAATCGGGTAGAGCACCTCCTTTACCAAGCTCATCCGTTAATGAGGGATGGTGAGGGTTGTTTCCCACTGCCACCACTGGCAAAAGGGATGATCGCTGATTAGCTCATTTGGCTACCTCCGATGTGCGGAAACAGTTCTATCGATTGTTTTACACTCAAGTCGCCATCAGACGTAAACAACTACCCGATTCGTACCTTCCTCAAAATTGTCCTTTGCTCGCTTTCTTCTTTGTATATACAATTTTCAAACTGCCGTACGGTAAACGCTCTTATAGTTGCGTTAGACGCGTTAGGTCCCTGTAGTCCTATAGTTGTGTATTGAGTCTCCATGCACAACTATAGGAACCTAACGCTTCTAACGTACCGCAACTATAGGAGCGTTTCCTCTATAAAGGGTGTCCACGATGAAATTGCCACACACAAAATTGATTCGCAAAATTCGAGTTTTCATCCGATTGCCATCAAATTTTCAGGGATTGAGAAATAACTATTAAACTTCATTTTACCATTTTACTTGTATTTTATTTACAGTCCATACGCAAATGCCCGCACCTTGGCCTTAACCCCGGCCATAAGATTCTGCACAACCTGTGAATCAACCGTTTTTTGCATGTAAACCCATACTTTCTTCAGTTCCTCGACTGTCTTCACTACCTTAGGTCGTTTAAGAAGGTGCTGCTTCATAATCGCCCAGTACTTCTCGATGGGGCGGAGCTCCGGAGTGTTGGGAGGGTTGAACATTTTCGGCACGAAATTGACCTTATTGTCCGCATACCACTTCAGCACGTCCTTGGAGTAGTGGCATGAGGCCAAATCCAGCCAGAAGATTGTTGGGACGTTGTGGGCCTTCAGGAGAGGAAGCAGCCGCTTCTGGAGGCACTTTTTTATGTACACCTGTCCGTTCATCGTGTCCTGGGTCACGAAAGGTGCACTCCGCTTCCCGCACGTGCAGATGGCTTGCCAAACCAGGAATTTCTTCGCAAATTTGGACATCTTCTGAGTGCGGACATGCTCCGGAACGCTGAACTTATCCTTGGCCGTGAAAAACAGGTTGCCGGGGATCTGTTTGAAGTCGGCCTTCACATATGTTTCGTCGTCCATGATGCAGCATTCAACTTTCGTCAGCATGTTGAGGTACAACTTCCTGGCACGGGTTTTGGCGGACTTGTTCTGCTTCTCGTCGCGATTAGGGGCCTTTTGTACCTTGAACGTTCGAAGCCCAGCCTTAGTTTTGGCCTTCTGGACAAAACTTCGGCTTAGGTGCAGCTTCTTAGCCACATCCCTAACGGAGGCGTTCGGATTTCGGTTGAAGGCCCCAACTACGCGGTTGTGATTTTTGGTGTTGTACGGAATACTTTTTCCTTCACTTCTGGGCTTCCAATCGGTGGTCAACCGTTCCTCGAACCGCTTAATCACTCGCGACACCGTGAAATTCGCGATTCCCAACGTTTTAGCGATGGAACAATGCGAGAGATCCTTGTTCTCGTGATGAATGCGCAAGATTTTATCACGCACGAGCTGTTCTTTCGACTCCATTTCCGCGAGTTTTGATCACAGGACTTTAAAACTTGCAGGATGTAAATAATGCACTATGAACTAAATCCACCCAAATTTTCATTAAATTCTACCCAACGGTTAAAAAGTTAGAGCAATTTCATAGTGTGGCATTTCATCGTGGACACCCTTTAGTGACCAAGTCACTAAAAAGTGACCTACTGCTAGCCCTGCAATGGTTATCAAATGTAACCGTTCTGTTACTAAGGTGCAATACAATATTTTAAATATGCACCATGTGATCGAGCATTCCAGTAAATTAGTATAACACTTGCGGTGAAACCCACTGGGCAGACGATACGACCATGTTTAACGGCCGACTGCTGAATAAGGCGTGCATGGCCGCGGCAAAATGGTGACACCATAGAGTTAACTCTAAGACTAGAAGGTCCCGAAATAGCGTGCTCAGCTTTTTGGCTCAGCCCTGGTACTCTCTTCGGTCCCAAGCTGATTGATTCACCCCTCGAAACATAGGAAAAACCAATAACCCCTCATTTTATCTGTCAAACTTTCATAGCGAATCAAAACAAACAGTGCGTAGTACTAGAATTTCGACTAGAATGGGGTACGTTAATCGTTTGCTTGGGACCAATAGGCTAGTCAAGTAGTGAGCCAATTTAAAATCGTTAGTTTCGTATTGATTGATTGTACCTATTTTAGTTCGGTGAAATTCCGACTTGCTGGTCTGCAGTCGTCGTAGTCACCATCGTCGTCAAGGGTATGTGCCAGAAAATCGATCACAACACCACACAATTCTTTGGTACAAACAACGTAAATATTTACCGTTTTTGACAAAACCCAGGTAATCATGACGTTTGATTATTGAAAACAATATGAATGAAGAAAAGAGACCAACTGCTGTCATGATTACCTGAGATTTGTCAAATAATGTAAATATTTACATCGATTGTATCGAAGAATCCACACTTTAATTGGAAAAACAAAAATACAGTGTTTAAGTTGATCCGCGCTGTGTTTCAGTTCATTTGAAAGCTTGAGTGCCTTTTCGCCCAGTAGTGCGCCAACTCTGAGACTCAAGGAGTCTCGTGCTGCTGAGTTGTTGTCGGGCAGAACATTAGTTTCACAAAAGAGAAAGTCGATGAATAGAATCGTTCAAACCAGATAGGACCATTTGAAATGTTGAAATGGTTGAGATTTAGGTCTGCTTTGGTTAAAACTTTGATTAAAACACTTCGAAGGTGAGAAGAATCTAGCCTGGACCTGGGGAAGGCCGAAATTTGTGGTTAAATTTTCCCCTTATTCTGCGAGTCACGTAACTCTGTCTCTCTCTCTCTCTCCCACCGGTGAGGTGACTCTCCTAACCGGAGACAGAGAGTCACGTGACTCACAGAATAAGGGGGCTTATCTCAGGGCGAAAGTTTAACGCATAAGTGACATCTTTTTTATCCTCCAATGACTACTTCTCCGAAGGTGAGAGGAAAATAGTTTGGAACTGAGAAATGCCGAAATGTTTAACGGCTACATTAATAAAAATTCAATGCTAAATTTTATGTGTATGATATGACACAAATGATATATATATATGAGTCGGACACATCGACAGTGTATGCATAAAATTCATGTGTAACCACACATACTATTCATTTGACTACTAAATTTTATGTGTACTTCTGACTACTAAATTTTATGTGTACCGACTGAGCCAAGGGAGGCTCCGATCTATGGAATTCGTATCATAATGAAGAAATAAAAACACTGTTTACTATTAATTGCAAATACCACGTAGATAGCATTGTTTTATTCCAACCTCGTTTCTGCATTACTTCTCCTTGCTCTTAATCCTAGTGACTATCGTCAATGAAATCGGCACCGTAAACGTCTCAATCAAATCCGACGTAACGCGTTCCGTAATCTGTCTCAGTTTCCCGTTGCCTTCTCCACAAACCAACCGTTCCAGTCGCTCACTCGGACAGGTCACCACTGCACTGGCAAAGATCTTTCCATTCATATTCTCGAAGAATTCCAGCTCTGTATTCAGCGAGTACGGAATCTCCTGTGGAAGATAGTCCAACAGGCGAGCCCGAACGCTTTGCACGATCAATTGTTCCGGGGTCTGATCCGTTGTTTCCGACGCCAAGTGCTCCCACGGTCCACTCTTTGCATGGGAATAGATGAAATTCATCACCTCCTTCAATCCATCCCCGGTGACAGCTGATACCATGAAAATTTCAGAAAAGTGAGGCCATCCTTCCACATCCACTGCCTGGGATTTCACTTCTGCTGGTGCATTCTCCAAGCTCTTGCGCTTTTTGATGCGATAGTTCTTTATGCTTTCCAACTGGTTGTTTGTGATACTCTTCACGATATCCAGCAGAATTCGCTTCGACTTCAGTGTATCGATCTTGTTCAGTATCAGGAAGCTGGGAATATGACTGTAACTCTTTAGCACATCCACCATAATAGGATTGAGTGTATTCCTGTTCCATGAATTGGAAATGTCGTGAACCACACCGATCAGGTTTGAGTTTTGTACCGCATGTCGACAGGACGACAGGAAATTCGAATCAATATGGTGCTTTTTGACTTCGCGGTCTCCAACCAAACCAGGAGTGTCGAACAGTATCATCTGCGAGTTGGCACGGCTTTGGATTGCCCTTGCAGTGCTTCGCGTCGTATGCACCTTCATCGATGTAGGGCAAACCTACATGGACAATAGATACATGTTACATCTCATACTACTATCGCTTACAATGACTTACCCGATGATCAATCAGGTGATTGATCAATGTACTTTTGCCGGCATTGGGCACGCCAATGATTGCCACTTTTATCAGCTTTTCGTTTGACTGTGGATCCTTTTTGTCCGAGACGTTTTCCGATGTTTTTGCACTGAAATTCCGAGCCCAGTACTGCGGCGACCGGGGAACACCTTGGCGTACCAATACAAGCAGAGCTCTGTCTAACATCTTCCTGATTCAGTTCGCAAACTTACACAGAACTAATAATCGAATTATCGAATTAAACAACGAAATTCAGAAGAACTGGATCATATTACATTTAATGATGTGAGCTTGTTTTGATTTGCAAAATGTTATGTCACGCGTGCAGCGCAAATAACGATGAGAGAAACGTCAAAATATGTCACTGTCGTTCACCGCTACAGTGTCTCATTATTTTGTGGGAACGGGTATGATTATTGACTGCAAGGTTTGATGAAAAGTATCCCATTAAAATTCTATTTTTTTAAAGATTACTTTTTGAAATAAACTAATGGTGATTAACCGAGCTGTTTTGTTGTCGACATCGATGTTAATAAATACCTATTTTTTTCTGCTCAGGAGTCTAAACTGCCCCGCATTAACAAAAACCATAAGAAGCGCCTAACCACCAATCCGGAATATCATCCCAACTCTATGCGGTATGGTCGCACCATCTATGATATCGTTTGTGTATGGTACCCGTTGCTTTGGAGGCGAACCAGCCCAAGGCTGAAAGCCTCCTTAATAAAGCTAAATAATAATAATAATAATATGGTACCCGTTTATAAGGGGCACACGTGGCAAGATGTTTTGAAATTGATATTAAGTGAATCATCTTTTGAAATGAGCACACTCAGCTACGTTTGGCTTGTTAGGTAGTTTTTTAACGAAAATAATCGGTTAACGAAAATATTACAGATTTTTCGGTAATGCCTTGTTCAGACTACAGAGTTATAACATGTTATAGCGCTATCTTGATGGTGGTTTCTGTGTTGCAATTATTTGACAACCGTTATAACATGTTATAACTGCTCAGTCTGGCCAGCGTTTAAATCATAAAAAAATACCAAAATAACGGTGGTCTGATTTTTTAAATGACGAACTCCCTTAAAAAAGATTACAGTACGAACTGTAAAATGGGATAATCGCCGAGTTCGGTAAAAAAAATACAGAACAAACCGTAAAACATAAATCAGATTACCGAACTTCGGTTTGTACAAACTGTCAAAACGTGAAGAAACTTTATAACGATCGTTCGGTAGTTATTTCGTTTACCGAACTGTTTACCGAACGTTCAGCTGTTGAAAGTTCGGTAAAAACCAACTCTATTATCATTTCAGTTAAAGTTCAGCGGGGATTATAAACCAGTTTCAATCATTTTTGAGTCTTTGGTAGGTTCAAGTAATGGTTCGCGTTTATGCGGTTAATTTTTCTCTGAATTAGCAATATTAAAAACTGGAAAAAAATAAGTTGAACTTTTTATTTGAATACAAAATAGCCACCCTAATATATAGCATCTGGGTTGTCCCTCGTAAATTGACAACGCGACACAATCCGGCAGTGTTGGCGAAGTGATCAAGATCATGTTTTACACTACTTCCACTTTTAATTTAAATTTGAGCCTATTCGGAACGTCACTAACAAATAATTGAAGTCCAATAAATTGAAAATTATATCAGAAAAATTATCATTACCAAAAACATCGCCGTTTATCAACAATTGCAGTGGAATTCATCGAAATTAATTCCAACTTCCGTTAGCTCCTCCCACAAAAGCGACTGGCAGCCCTCCTCTTTGACCAATCAGCGACGACCACATCCTCTTGAGACGTCATCCAGAGTGGTGGGCTGATCCCTGTGTACAGTTCTTCATTTGGTTGCAAACTTTCATAGTGGTTTCATCAGACTTTTCTGAGGTTCAAAAGAGAATCAAAATCCGTGACCGCAGCCCAAACCTACGGAGCGATGAACCAGTTCCAACATTGCTCGAAAGTGATTCCAACGGGAAGGATCAACAACTATCGTCCGCGGAAGTAGTTTATTGTGAAGATGCTGATACAAGTTCAGTGATGCACAGTGCAAACAACTAAGGATAAACGAGCCTTGTTTTGCATTATTGTTAAGAAGTTTTTAGAAAAAAAAGGAGTTATTCAAAGGAAGTCAACATGAGTGCACCGATCGTCATCACCGTGCCTACGAAGTTCATCCCAATCAACCTGGCCCCAGTGGCAATAAAAACCGAAATCATGCCAGCTCCCTCCTCGGATGGAGACGAGTCCACTTCGTCGATGGATGAGTTCCTGGTGCGCGGCAAGAAGCGCCGCCTGGACCATCTCACATGGGAGGAGAAGCTTCAGAGGAAGTGAGTTTCATACATTTAGCATTTTTGTGATGGTTCAGGGGAGTCCCATAGCGATAACCTTCGGGGTGTATGGCGTAGTATAATCGCTTCTAGAAATTTCATCATTTGTGATGACGTGTCATTAATGATAGTGGGAAACGTGGGAAATAGCAGCTATGGTTGGAGTTATGAAATCGATTGGCATGAATTATTCAAAAACTATAAAGACTATTTTTCTTCTATTACAGAAAATTGAAAAACCGTGTCGCGGCTCAAACCTCCCGCGACCGCAAAAAGGCCAAAATGGAAGAGATGGATTATACCATCCAACAGCAAACAGATCAAATAAGCGAGTTGCAAATGAAATGTGACGCGCTCCAGTCAGAAAAAGAAGCCATCCACAGCAAGTATCTCGATCTGGAAAGCCGCTTCGAAGAGCTGAAGCGAAGACTCGATGAGCAGCAGCAGCAAATGAACACGCCCTCTATCACGATCAAGTCAGAACCGATCGCCCCAGTAGCCTCACACAGTGTTGGCTCTGCTTCCACCCTACTAGGATCAGCAGCATCCGCCCCAACCCCTCAGCAGCAGGGAACTATTTCAATGGAAGCACAGACGACACTGAGTCAGGACGAGACGGGTCTGGAGACCAACGACGAAAAGGTAACAGCCTTGTGGAAGATAATTGCTCTTTGCCTGCTCTACAGGACATGCTCGAAGACTTCGATGTGTCCAAGCTCGAAGAGCTTGCCGAAAGCCTACTGGCCAATGTCACAAGCGAGCTGGAGGGCACTGATCGCGGAAGCAGCCCGGCAGATGCCCAAGATGCAGGCACCAGCTGCGGAATGCTTGAACCAATGGTGGGGTCCCCATCAGAACAGCTGGAATCCAGCGAAGAAACTGGTCAAGGAAGCAGCCTAATTCTGACAACCCACAACTATTCCAAGTCACCCTTTCACGTAGAAAAACTGCACAGCAGTCGGCAATCTGACTCGGAGCATCAGCAGACGGTCTATGGAACCTACGACAACGAAAGCAACTGCATCACCATCGTCATTGACGAGGACGAACTTCCACTGGAGGAGGAAATTATTTGCGAAGAACCGACCGACGACGACGAACAGGAGTTCAAAGTCAAGCTGGAACCGGTTCAGGACCTACTTTCCCCTATCCCGAGCACCTGCTCCAACTACTCTGAAGATCTCAAACCCATGCAGGAGGACGACGAACTACAGAATGTGTTCAAATGTCCCCTGACGCCGGTATCGTTCATCTCGGACGGAGGTTACGAATCGTTGGGTTCGCCCACCGGTTCGACCGATTTCAACATGACCACCAGCTCTTTTGACGAATTCTGGAATCTGGATCTGTTCCCCATATTGAACAATTAAGAATAGCCAGTTGTAAATATTTTTCGTTCCTTCAGTGATGTACAAAGTTGATGTAAGACCGTTGTTAAAAGTTTAAATTAGTTACAATGAGGTACCTAATATGACCTGCTTGATATTTAAGTTAACGTTAGGCTTCGTGTGCTGATAAGTTTAAGCCAGATTGCTGTAAATATTAGAGTTCTATTTGCTATTTAACGTTCTCTCTAGTTAGAGAAAATTTAGCACTGTACACTGGAGTCGCTTTTTACGCGGGTAATACGTCCCGCGTAAAAAAAAACCGCGTAAAAAAAAACCGCGTAAATTCCGGAATCCGCGTAAAAAAAAACCGCGTAAATTCCGGAATCCGCGTAAAAAAAAACCGAGTAAAAAAAGACCGTGTAAGAAAAAAACGCGTAAAAAGCGATATACCGCGTAAATTCTGAAATCCGCGTAAAAAAAAACCAAAATCCGCGTAAAAAAAAACCGCGTAAATTCCGGAATCCGCGTAAAAAAAAACCGCGTAAATTCCGAAATCCGCGTAAAAAAAAACCGCGTAAAAAAAAACCGTGTAAAAAAAAACCGCGTAAAAAGCGACTCCAGTGTACTATTTTAATGCTGTGTAGTTGTCCCATAATGTTAGATCTAATTTCTTTATTTTGTGCACAAAATAAACATTAATCTATCATTTAAGTACCGTAAATCTAAACGGTGGAAAATTATAAAATAAGTAATTATGATCATTATTACCGATTTCGTGAATTTTCCACTTCGGATCACTCTATGAAAGGATGATTTTGGAAAAAATATACTGAACAAAAATTTGACAAACAAATCGACTAGGTATTCCAGATGGGTTCATTCCACAAGATGACACTCCCAGTAGAATTAAAAGTACATACGTGATTTCCCATCGGTTACACATAAACACGAAAAAAAACCTTTCTAGCGTTCAGAATCATAAGGGCCTAACTGCGACGATTGATTCTCTTCCCATTACTACAGTAAGTTATGTTGTTAAGTAAACCAATTTTCCGAAATTGTTCCAGTACAGTGTACTGTAAAGATGTCTCAGGGCTGGTAGTGGGCATGTGATATACAGCCATATTCTTGTTTTCGTTGATTACGACCCACTTAGAGAAATAATTAAAAAAAAATCAACCGATCATGAGCATTTTGCAAGCTTTTTTAGAATTAAACAAATCAAGCTAGACATTGGTGCAGATTCTTTTCGTTGTTTTTCTCTTTGCATCCTCACGGCCATGTTAAGACATTCCTTGCTCACAGATCGATGAAACAAGCTATTATATAGCTTCTAATACGACAAACAAGACACGAAACGGTTCTGCATCCAAGTTATTAACGAAAGAGAAAGCCGATGAAGAGAATCAATCAATGTTACTTAGGACGTAAGGCATTGTTCAGCTTGAAATGGTTTAAGGATCACATAAATGTGTTCTTAAAAAATCAGTATTAAACGAATAAGTAATGGTAGTAAGCTCTTACCGTTATTATCTTCGGATGAAATCCAAATCAAGAATGTCCGGCTGCTTTGATGTCGACATCAGATTTAATCACTGGCCTGTTGGCTTCAGTATTATTGGACATTAAGGGGGCTTTTGATTCAGTTTCCATTGAAATTCTGTCAGAAAATCTGCACAGATGTGGACGTTCTGGAATTTTAAATAATTTCTTGTGCAATTTGTAATTGTAGTTGTTCACTACAAAGGATGTGCCTTCTGCTAAGAAGGCTTATCTAGGGACCAACCCCCTAGTCTATACACCTACTATACTTCCCGTTGCACTCGTCAGCTCGTGCGATACTCTAAGACACACATGGGTGATCGTATCCGGGTCCTCCCCTGGGTAGGCTTGTGTCCGTCCAGGTTCTGGTACATTAACTTATCTCTATGCATGGTAATTATACTTTTTTAAACTAACCTTTTGATTATAATGTCGAAAATGCTGAAACTAAATGAAGGTTAGCGATCAATATAAGGTGTGTGCTGCGACGGAGTAGCATTTGAAGGAAATGACGTTCTGATGTGGATTATAGGTAATTCCTTTATTCATTGTTACTGTCCGACGGTATCATTTTTGAAATTCATTCAGCTACTGCCTCCCTACGATTCAGAGAGCTTGTGAGATATATCCCTAGGTATCTCATCATCCGTGCGTATACCACCCGTATGTTGTAACGCCCAACAGTGCCTTGCCGTGGGGGGTCCCGAGCAACTGTTATTGATGGATCACGTATTAGAACTTCGGTTTTGGATACATTGAGTTCCAAACCGAACGCCTCTAAGGCAGGAGTGAGGCTTGCAATTGGCTCCTTTCGATCTGCGATGGATGAGTTAGCAATCCAATTATATCATCGGTATATACCCGCAGACAGGGAAGTCGAATGCTGCTGGATTGTTCCAACAATAACTTCGGCATTTCGCGTTGTAGTTGGATGAGAGCTTGATCCAGAAGGTATACAAACAACTTTGGCGATAGTGGACATCCTTGCTTGATTCCGCGCACCTTGGGATATTCCTCCGTTCTTTGACCAAACCATTGAAGTGAGGTGCGTTCCGTTAAGCAACATTTTACGATCCGATTTATTAGGTACACCGGTACTCCTAGCGCACGAAGTACTTCTGGCACTCGGTTCAGGTCTATGCGGTCGAAGGCTTTACAGATATCCAGCGATAGAACATATGTCACTACAAGGGCGTAGCCAGGTTTCGAGCTAGGGAGGGGCGAAAAAAAAATTACTATGTTAAATTTGGCCGAATGCCATTTCACCGAACGCCATTTCACCGAAAGCCTTTGTGTTGCTGAGTTTAGAGGGGGCAGTTGCAAACTCTGGCTACACCTATGTGTCACTACCTTTTCTCCATTGCTCATCTAGTATCCGTCTTACTATGAAAACTTGATCTTCAGCGGAGCGGTTTCGGTGGTATGCAAACTGATAATTAGGAACATCACCTAAAAATAGTTCCAACTGCTCTAACAAAAACCGTGCGTATATTTTGTACACTGCCTGGCAAAGTGTTATGCGACGATATTCTTCCGGGCGTTCGGGGTTAGGTGTCTTCGGAATCGGTACTTGAAAGGTTTCAATTATACCGCGCGGAATTTCATTTTTATTCCACATCATTGCGAGCAACCGATGCATGTGCTGATGTAAGGACTCCGGGCCATATCGGATCAGTTCCGGTTGCACTCCATCTGTTCTCGCTGCTGTGTTATTTTTCAGTTGCGCGGCAGGTTGCCCAGGGACTTTTTATGTTGAAATAACCGGTTTTTTCCCGGTTTTCCCGGTTCAAATCTTAAAAATTTCCCGTATGTTGATATTCAACAAAAAACGAAACTGTACGCAATTTTTAAAACATGGCCAACTGTAAATTTTCAGTGGTTATTTGCAGGGTTACTTCCACTCACTAGCTATAAAAAAATGTTTTTCGGAATTATGGAATCATGAAATAGTATAATGCTAAATTAGTACTTGTAAGTTACAAGAAGAGGTCATTAAGTATATGTTTGACACATAAAATCTGTCAAAATTGCTTTCAGTGCGTCACAATCAGCGATTTTACGACTCGTGAGCGCTCACTCTGAGTGAACGCTCACGAATCATAAGATCGCTGATTGTGACGCTCTGAAAGCGAAATTGACAGGTTTTATGAGTCAAACACATACTTTACACCCTCTTATTGTTAGTTACTAGTACAACATATCATTATAACATCTAATGATTGCATGATTCCGAAAAGTATTTTTTTATAGCAAGTGAGTGGAAGCAACCCTGGTTATTTGTAGGAAAAATGAAAGCCAAATTACAGAAAGTGTTTTCTAAAGCTATGGGAAAAATTCAACTCAATGAGGCACTTAATGTATTCAAAACAATTAATTGATCTTTCGAGATACTTTCATAAATCGAATTCTACCACTTTTTATGATCGATACATCTTATGATTCAAGCCCTAGAATTTATTGAGTGACAGAGATTAAGGTTACAGGGCCAAATGCTATCTGGATGAATAGGTTGGTTATCCCACAAACGAAGTTACAGACGACTTTCTCCGAAGAAATTAATTAAAATAAGGTGGTTCTCTGTAATAGAATTTTAGACCACTTTCCGCCGCTCACCGCCAGGTTCGCTAGTATTTTTGATTTGAATTAATTCAAGTTGGTTTTGTGTGCAATGATCTGGCAACTCGCGTTCTCACTCGCGTTGACGGGGTGCTGTTTTCTCACTCATCGAAGGAAATTTTGATTAGAGTGAGAAAGTAAGGAACAGTCAGCGCGGGAACCGTGTGCGGAACTATACTGCCGTTCTACGCATAACTGTCCCATGTTCTATGCAATCCTTATGCACCGTGGGACTCTTATGCGTATAACGGCAGTATAGGTGCGGCAGAAAGAATGTAGTCGACTCCTTCGTTCTCACGGTGTTCTTACGCATGATCCAACGTTACGTCACACTAGATTATGCATAAGAACGTCGTGATAAAGGGTGTCCACGATGAAATTGCCACACTATGAAATTGCTCTAACTTTTTAACCGTTGGGTAGAATTTAATGAAAATTTGGGTGGATTTAGTTCATAGTCCATTATTTACATCCTGCAAGTTTTAAAGTCCTGTGATCAAAACTCGCGGAAATGGAGTCGAAAGAACAGCTCGTGCGTGATAAAATCTTGCGCATTCATCACGAGAACAAGGATCTCTCGCATCGTTCCATCGCTAAAACGTTGGGAATCGCGAATTCCACGGTGTCGCGAGTGATTAGGCGGTTCGAGGAACGGTTGACCACCGATCGGAAGCCCAGAAGTGAAGGAAAAAGTATTCCGTACAACACCAAAAATCACAACCGCGTAGTTGGGGCCTTCAACCGAAATCCGAACGCCTCCGTAAGGGATGTGGCTAAGAAGCTGCATCTAAGCCGAAGTTTTGTCCAGAAGGCCAAAACTAAAGCTGGGCTTCGAACGTTCAAGGTACAAAAGGCCCCTAATCGCGACGAGAAGCAGAACAAGTCCGCCAAAACCCGTGCCAGGAAGTTGTACCTCAACATGCTGACGAAAGTTGAATTCTGCATTATGGACGACGAAACATATGTGAAGGCCGACTTCAAACAGATCCCCGGCAACCTGTTTTTCACGGCCAAGGATAAGTTCAGCGTTCCGGAGCATGTCCGCACTCAGAAGATGTCCAAATTTGCGAAGAAATTCCTGGTTTGGCAAGCCATCTGCACGTGCGGG